CATCATTTTCAAAACATTTTCTTTCTACTTCAGCCCTTGGTATCAGGAGCTGATACCAAGGATCTGATAAACCTCTTTCTTTTCTTTTTAAACCTCTTACTTATACACATGAGTGTCTATGAATTTGTTTCTCTAGTCTACCCAGACTAACACACCCACCAAACCCAAACCCACCGCTATCAAGTCAATTCCGACTCATCGCTGTCAATCTTTATGGGAGCAGATGCATTCTCCTGAGAAGCAGCTGGTGAGTATGACCTCCTGACTGAGGCTGGCTGCCCAATGCTTAACCCACAGCACCACCAGGGATCACTTAGCACCCCTAGCGGTGGCAATAAAAACATGTTTCCAAGAAACCCCAAACCAAACCCCCTGCCACTGAGGGGATTCCAACTCAGTGACCCAACAGGGCGGAGGAGAAGGGCTCCTGAGGGTTTCCAAGACTAAACTGTAACAGGGCTGGTGGGTCCCTTACGGCTAGCAGCCCGAATCGTAACCCACTGGATTGGAGCCCTGCCCAACCCACTGTCACTGAGTTGATGCTGACTCATACCAGCCCAGCACGGGGTTTCCGAGGCGGTCAGTCTTTACGGGAACAGACAGCCCCTCTTTCTGATTCTATTCGGACTTATTCTCATCTGAAAACACCTTGAAGGCAAAAACCATAACCTGCCCCCGGAAGTAGTAATAACACACTTAATTGGCCCCCAAGGAAATGATAGTAAATATCATCACAAGGTGATCATTTCACATTGACAGTAAAAATCGAGAGCTAGCTCAGATCCGTAACTTAACCTCTCTCGGCTGAAGTTCGCTCCTCTATAAAAGGGAGCAAAGAATGGCTGTTGACAGGATTAAACGGTAGAATAGAAGCAAGTAGTTTCCCACACTTTCTGGTGCACACTGAACACTGGCTGTGTGTCAGCTATTGTTACTATTGGAGCTCTGGTAGTATAGTGTGTTACTTGCTGGGCTGCTAACCACAAGGCCAGCAGTTCAACACCACCAGCTGCTCTTTGGGAGAGAGATGAGCTGTTCTCCTCCCGTAAAGACTGATAGTCTTGGAACCCTGTAGAGCCACTGTGCGTTGGAATTGACTAGCTGGCAGTGCGCTTTGAGTTTATCATTACTATTATTCTCTTAGCAACCAATCGCACCTCGGGAGGAAGTTTTCTCCAGCTGCAATAGCAAACCCCCTATACTTCAGAAAATCAGCCAATGAAAGCCCATGCAGGACGAGAGTCGTCGTCCCCCGCCCCATTGTGCACGAGGTGGCTGAATCAGGGTAACTCAATAGCAGCTAGCAACAACAACATGACGTAAAAATATATCAACGCTCATCCTGCTATTTTGTGGGCAGGAGAAAGGCAAGTAACTATAAAGCATTTCTGCCGATAACCTAAGAAAAAGTGAAAACAGGAGCCTGCTAGAAATCACGGGGGCTGGGAACCTCAAAGACAAACCCACTAGCCTTCCAAATATTCCTATCCTCCAATATATTCTTAAAGACTTTCATATTTAAAATTCATGGGCATGTTAACCAATAGGGGAAGTAAAACCATGCTTTATTATACATATTAACGCAGGCAAGAGACAAGTAACTTTAAACAAACAAGTGAAAAACCAACCAGCCGCTGTCAAGTTGATCCTGACTCACAGCAACTGGTGGGGACAGAGTCCTAACTGCCCCGGGGGTGTAAACCCGCCAGGAAGCCGACTGCCCCATCTTTCTCCCACTGGGGTCAAACCACCCAACTTGCAGTTTGCAGCCTAATCAATGCACCAAGGTTCCTTTTAACCACTTTACTGAGGAGTGCTATTGCTCTGTGCCAACTACGTGCCCTCAATTTTGAAGTTGACTCAAAGCATGAAGGAGTTTACAAGGAGGGGGAGTTTATGAAGTCATGAGGCAGAGTTGAGGGATCCACGGGGGGTGGGGGGGGTGATTTGAGTGGAGCAGCATCAGGAGGTAGGCAATGGGGCAGAAGGTGAAGGGAAAGCCAGCCACAGCGCTAGAAAACACCCAGCCAGGACCACCTCCAATCTCCTCTGGCAGCAGTCTGGGCTAGCCCAAACAGACCCGATTCTCACTCGCATGGATGCCACACCCCAATCATGCCCACTGCCATCCTGTCGATTTTGCCCCAGAGCAACCCAATGGCTACCACTCATATAACACGAGCTCTGCAAACAGCTCATGGGAAGAAATGGAATTAAAAGATCATGGCACTCTCTCTGGGAGCGCCCTTGTATGTGCCATGGGTCACGTCGGACACACCCAGGAAAAAAGAAAGGGACCAGCCATCTGCTTCTGTTAAGATTACAGTCAAGTCAGAGTTGGAGACATGGCGGACGATGTGGACATGCAACAAGCTACCCACACAGGAGAGGAGCCTCTGGATCTCATTAGCCTCAGCTTGGATGAACGCATCTATGTGAAAATGCGAAATGACCGAGAGCTCTGAGGAAGTTTGCATGCTTATGATTGGCATTTACATATGATACTGGGAGATGTGGAAGAAACTGTCACTACTATAGAAACTGATGAAGATACGTAGTCAGTCCCACCCTGCCACTTAGGATCCCTGTGAATCTACCAGAAGGCAACAGCTCAGGCCTCACATGGAACTACTCGTGTAATGCTTCCAACAATCTTATGATGTGTTTTACAGATGAAAAAATGGAATCACAGAGAAGTGACCTGCCCAAGGTCACTGTGCAAGTAAACTGAGGGCACAGTGGGTCCACAACAGTTCCTCCATCTCTGTGCCTATCCGTGTCTACTTTAATTTCAGACCTGGAAACTGAATTGCTATTTGCTACCTGGTGGCGGGCACCCTGGCTAGGTGCTGGGCTGCTAACCTAGAAGATGTGGGAAGCATCCCTGGGAAGGACTGGCCTGTTGCTGTCGAGTTGACTCCAAGAGGCAGGAAAATCAGCTCCTATTCAAAGCCACCCTCTAAGAGGTTCTGGCTCAGAGACTCTCCCTCCGGGTGAGAGTAAGAACTGTCCCACGGGGCTTCCCAGGCTGCAATCTTTATGGGGGCTGATTGTCACGGCCTGAGAGCTGCTGGTGGCTTCCAGTCAGCCAAGCATTGGTGGGATGCTTAAATCACAGGGTCATCTTATCTGATAATGACTGTCCCCTGGGGAAACCCCTTGGGGCAATTCTGCTCTGTCCGCCAGGGTTGCTATGAGTGGAATGGCCTGGACGAGTCCCAACAGCCACCCCAAGAGACCAGTTCTCTCCCAGAGAATGGTTATTTCAAAAAGCCATCCCTCTAATGTCCCTCCGTGTGGAGATGTCAGGGGCCTGACATGTAAGTGTGGCAGCTGGACCCTCTGCTGTTCGGTGAGCCCTGAAGAAATCGCTGCAGAGTATCTCGTGGGAAGGGTGTGTGTGTGATCACAATGGAAACAGTGTCTTGAACAAGGGTCTTGGAGAACAAGGCAGATCGCGGAGGCTCCCATTTTCAGCCTCTATCGGCTACTGGGTTCATCCAAAAGCCTCAGGAGCCACCTGCTGTCACCTCCCTCACTCTAAGACGCAGGTGGAGAGGACCCAGGCGAGGCGTGGGGCTCCGACGCGCAGGGAGGCTAGAGCGAAGGGGGCTTCTGCACAGGGGCAGGGGAGGCTGCCGATCTGGGTGGGGGCAGGGGCCACTGGCGGACTGAATCCCGACGCGCGGGGTTCACGTGCAGGGGTGACTGGCGACCAGCGACGGGATCCCGAACCCCGGGCCAAGGATCGAGCAGCCATCTGGGCTGATCTCGGAGAGGAAGCGGGGCAGGCACCCGGGCATTTCGAAAGAGCAGCTGCAAATAACGGCGAGCGAAGCCCAGGGCCCTGGGTGGCGGGGGGCAGGGGTCGCAGCCCTGGGTGCGTGGGGTTCCGGCAGGGGCTCGGCGCGGCGGGGC